TAAGAGCATAGCTGCTGGATAGCTTTATATCTAGCTATTTGTGGACTTAGTAGAATTTTGCTACCTTTGTTCACTCATTGTTTGGGCTTTGATTAATGTATTGGTACCTTTCATTTCTTTTGCATTAAAACACTAAAATTTTATACTTGCTTGATCCTAAGATGCTCACTGAAGTCTTCCAATCACACTACTACTATGGTTTGAATAGCTGACATTAGGGAGAAGCGAAGACAACGAAATTTTACCAAGTCCACAAGTAGCTAGATATAAAGCTATCCAGAAGCTATGCTCTTAACAGCGCAATGGCGCAATGGGTAAGTAACCGCGTTCACAGCAACGATGCCGGTCTCGAATCAGCGTGGATTTATTCTTTTGCAAACGATGAGAATCTTTTTTTTTTACCTCCCACTCTTCAGCTGACAAACCCCGCTGAAATGTGCTCACCATATAATCCGGGCGATATGCCTTGGATACGCGCATAATCATATCCCAAGCACTCCTACACGGGTGTTTGGCGCGCGATGTAGATTTTACCCAAATAGAATTTTATGGAGCTGGGCTGGCTTTCATGCCGGCCCAGCATTTGCCTGCAGAGGCCGCTCCAAGCTCGGGCCTTTTTCAGGCTGAGCCAAGATAGAGCGTTGTCATAGAACCAGTATCAGACGGTCGGTATCTGTACCATAATAAACCACTTATGCCGCACCAGCATCGGAATCTGCATTGAGGCGCCATACAAACCGGTGCTGATTCAACAAAATATCTCAGCTTGAGACGACATGAGTCTCAAGGCCGAGACCATATTGGATTGCAACTTGAGACGACATGGATCTTGAGGCTGGTACTTTGTCAGATTGCAGCTCATACCGTGATCGAGACAGGATGAATCCTCCGTCTGAATGCATATCATACCCCAGGTCAATTACAGGTAGTTTTCGTATGCAGACGGAATCATTCCCCAGATAGCATCAGATAGAAATAAAACCGTATTTGATGGACAGACGTCGACTGGTTCTAGTATACATGTACGTAATGGTTAACTGATTCAGATATCAGCTCGAATATCAATCAGTATCATAACCAGTTGATTCATGGGCAGCCTCGGCTTCGAGGTCGCGGTTGATTTCCTCTACACTACGGACGGTCGACTCCTGCAAAGTCAATGCTGTGTCGACAGCATCATAGCTATCCATCTCCTCGATGGCCTTGTGGAGCTGCCGCTGCCAAGCAGACTCCGTAAGGCCATCCAGGTTCGGCTTCTTCTTCACCTTGAAGGTTGACCGGTGCTTCTTAAGGGAGAGGCTGAAACGGCTATAACAAGTCTCATCATTATGGTGCAGGAGCTAGCAACCAGTAGACTTACACGCTGATAGCCTTCTTGCGCTCGACTCCCTGCAGGTAGGTGTACTTTCGCCGGTGGTCACGAAGCTGCTTGTCAGTATGGTCCCAGAAAGCATCCGGAGGGCCAAGGTGCAACTTGTTGTAATCAGATAGATACAGAGCCTACGATTGATCAGCAAGAAGCAAGTCAACATATAACAGAAGACATACCACCCAGGCCCACCGGCCCCACATCTGCTCGTTAACAGTGATCTTACTGTGAGCGCCAGAGGAATTGCTGCCGATGAGATTCGAAACGGTTGCATAGATGTCCTTCTTCCCGTTGAGAGATGTGTTGAGCTTGCGCTTGATATCCTACCTGAGATATGCAAGAGTGGCGATGACCTTCTCGCTAAACTTGTCGTGGCCGAGGAATGGCCAGAGGTGCTTGGGGATGTTGTAGTTGCCAGGTTTATTGCGAATATGACGCTGAAAAAACCTTGTAAGCGACGAGGACACCCAAAGGAAATGAGAATACATACGAGGAAGCGAACAGTGAGGCCATCCTTGTATGCAGAGACACTCCCATCGAGGAGGTACCCAAAAAGTGCGTCATGAATATTGTTCTAGTTGCATAATGAGTATAAGTGAATGAAACATAGATCAAGACCGTAAGACGTACCCTGTACTCGTTGGGTTGCATCCAACATTCACCCTCCCAGACAAGACGATCAATCCGCTGGTTGGCCATCTCCACTCGCAGGGCAATGAGAGCCCGGTGTGTTGAGAGCTGAGGGTCAAAATGATTAACAATGACTCCTACAAGCAGCGGAAATATTACCTGAGAGAAGCGGACAATTTCTTCAGTGTCCTCTTCATTCAAGCCTTGCGCAGCGCATTCAGCCTTTGCAAACTCAATATGAGCTCGCTTGGTTGGCGGGTCCCATGGATTGTCCTCATCTGGTTGGAAGCGGCGTTTACCTGTCCGAGTGGCTAAAACCGGTTAGAACGAACGCTAACATCGAAAGACTCCAACTTACGAGGTGAGGCGAAAGTGACTGTGTTCGAAACGAGTGGGTTCGGGCTATAGACATCTGTGAAGATATTTCCGCGAGGGTGACTTGGGGTTGGCGCAGGGGCGCCATGTTGACCCGTGTGTTTGAGAGCAGACCGACGAGTAGACCGGCGAGCAGACCGACGAGCGGAGGGTGCTGGTGTGTTATTGACAACGTCTTCTTCTTCTTCGATACCGGCCATGAAGCCAGCACCAGTGTCCTTTGGGGGTGACACAGCTGCACTTCTTGTCTGTGGCATGGCGAAGGGGGCAAAGTGGGGGGGCGAAATCAAAGGCCGAATCGCAGTGTTTTGGTTCAAGTATACAACCTCACAGCTCCACCTGTTGCCATGTCACTGTTCAGCGCTCAGGGTTGAAACATTGAGGCCCCACTGAAAGCACCACTGACCAAATTACCGGTTGGTCTCCACTGCTGCGCATTCCAGGCTCCTCCAACAGGAAGTGCGTGTTCCATTCCTGCTAAACCCAACCCATACAAAGTCTCACGTCGTGTCTTCCTCTGAAGTGCTCATTGCGCTTCGCAATCTGCGGGTGCCTTGAGAAGTGCGGATGCTCGTCTTGCCAGATAGCCGCTTTAAGGATCAAATCGTCCATGGAACGATCCCAAGAATCTTGACCGTCAAAGTCGATTTGCTCAGTGCGGGTGGCAGGGTGGGGTAGTTGCCTTTCGGGGTCTGCACCTTCAATTATGTCGAGTGCAAGTATATGTGTGATGTGACGAAGGCAAGCGTGGCTTTAGCAGCTCGCCCAAGCTGAGAATCGTTGGACTTGAGCCCATCGAGTTCCATAATCACCGGCACCGGAAGAACGATAGTCCAAGTGAGACTTTGGACAATCGATGAAATAATGGAGAGCGACAAGAGAAGGATGTTGGTGTCGAGGACGAGGATGGTATAGCCTGGAATAATCTTGAGGCTGTACTGAGGCTTGATGGTGTGGTTTCTACGAACACAGTTGTGGCGAATGCCAGAACCTGTCCGTCCAGACGAGGCCAACATCGAGCGCAAATATTGTCGGCGCGCCTAAAATTTCATGAGTTAGTAGTAGACGAGTGAGAAGCGTATTAATTACCTTGAGCTCTCTAACAGCCTCGGAATCCTCGCCGCCATCACTCTCTTCCGACTCCTCGTCGAGACCTGCCTCGTCGTCGACATCCATCGAATCGTCAACCCATCTGTGCGAACGGCGACGTTCTTCTTCACGCTCGTGCTTGTCCTCCACTGACCACTGCTGAGCCTTGGATTCGAGAGCAACTTCGACTTTCCATGCCCTCGTCCCCTCGGCCCAGTTGAAGCCGTCGACGGCTTGCGAAATGGTGACAGCGCACTGTGCAATGCGTGTCCAGCGGCGAGTACTGTCGCTGACCTTGGACTTCCGCGAGACACCGTCTTCCTCGTCGTCTTCAATCACGCCATCGTCGACTACCTGATCCTCCACCACATCCAAAATCTCCACCTCTGCACGTTGCTCCTCGCCGCCCTTCCAATAGCCCCGCTCGAAGACCTTCCGGCCAACCCATTCCATGCCGCGTAGGCACCAATCCTCTGGAAGTGGAGGCGCGCATCCACTCGTAAGCATGGCCCATCGTTCGTGACCAAGACTTGGGGCGAGCAAACCCTGGTTGATCATCACATTTTGAGGGAGAGAAGAGAAGAGATTCGCAAGTTCTCCCCAAGGCACAGATCGCTCCAAGGTAGATAGGATGTCGGACTGTTTCAAGACTGTGGCAAGGAAGGTGAGGATAACAGGGATATAGGAGTTGACGGAAGGCCGGGAGAACTGCAAGTTCTTGCGCAGTGGGTTCTTGAGGACAAACGACAGCATGTCGAATGCAAGCTGCATAGCAAGCGTGAGTTGCAGCGGTGCCTCTGCTCCAACCGAGGGTTCCGACATTGCAGGAGAGGGCTTCATGTCTTCATCGCCATCTTCGTCGACATCCATCCCATCCTGCTGTGCGGGTCGTTTGGCCACACGAACGTTGCTGGACCCGATGTCTCGGGTGCCGGATGCCCCAAGCTTCCGAAGCAGGCCACTTGGGCGGCCATACTCGAGAAGCGAACTGATGTTGATAACGGCCATCATGGTCCATTCGCGTTCTTCGGCGCCCTCAATCTCCAAGCGTTCAAGGAAACGAGCGAGTGTTGGTTGGAAATCGTCAAGCTGGATGTTGGTAAGAGCATGCCATGTAGAAGAACGAATAGCTCGGGGGCACGAGCATCTGGCTGCGATCGACGTGTTTGTGCCGCTAATGACCAAATTGGAAGGATAGACTCACGGGAAGTCGAAAAAGGATGCAGTGTGGTCATACTGTAGTATCGATATGAGCCTCGACTCCGATGTTCATTGAAGAACTCACCTCTTTACAAAATGATAGACGGCACGTAGCTCTTCGGCCTCCACCTCGCGACTCAGCAAACCAAGGTGGTGATGAAGCTTGCCAGCGCCAGGTGTATCAGCAAGGCCCTGAGCGAGCCAATCGCGGGCGATACATCTCCACCGCTCCTTCTCAGGCTCGACCACCATGTTCCGTGCAGCGATAATGCCCACACTGGGTGTCGGGGAGTCATCGATGCGAGCAGCGGGGCGGTTGCCACTAGATTTAGCACTGGTATGAGACTTCGGGCCTTTGAGCGTATCGTCAACAGTATTTGCTGCTGCTTGCGAGACAGCATCGGTAGTAAGTGCGGCGCCAGCGATCTGATTGTTGTTGACCATGGTCGCAACGGCCATTCAGTAGCGGGCGAGATCCCCGAGTGCCTCTAACCAGCCTCCCCGGAACGAAAGGAGGGCCGGTTCCTCGAGGGGGCCGGTGTAGAAGGTGTAAGCAAAATAGATAAAGTCCTGAAGATGTTCCAGAGCTATGGGTGACGAGAAGGAAGCACGGCGGAGGTTCTCCAACACTTTGTGAAACCCGTGGGTCCAAAGTCGGATGATGATGTTGTACTTGGTGGGAATGACCCGCAGCAAGGTCGGAACGCTTGGTGATAGCGAGATTTCCATCAAAGTATGCATGAGCTCCGCAAGTCTGATAAGGATAGTTACTCGTATATTTACTCGTATATTATTACTCGTATATTCAAAATTATGCCCGGCTTGGCATTGTACATGTTTGACATTGTGGCTGTGGCATATCTCGCGTTAGTGCTCGGTATTTGTATACGATGTAGGGTTCTGGACTGCACAAC